TAGAGAGCAAAACACTCCGAAAGAAAGAGAGAGGCAGAGACTCTGAGACTGCGAGGGAAAGAATCTGGGAGAGAGGGAGAGAGGGAGAGACAGAGAGTCTGACCAGAGAAAGTGAGCACCACTCTGAGAAGGAGAGATTCAGGGAAGGAGTAAGAGCGAAACTACAAGTGGGGGAGACTCAGAGAAAGAAGAAGAAGAAAAAAAAAAAGAGTCTGGCTGGCTTTAAAGAAGTGTTTTGCTTTCAAGCCAAACTCTTCTCAGAATGGCACTAGTCCAAGTATGATTCATGTTTTTTTTTCCTGCAGCATGTTATGAGAAAGAGAGAATGCGACCAGAAGACACCTCACCTCAACACACACATCTAAAATAATAAATAACCCCACTAACTTGAAGAAAGAACGACTGCACATTTTCTACCACATCATTTCAGTGATTCAGTTTAATATTTCTGGCTAATAATGAAGCGTTAATGAGCAAAACTAACAAACAGAAACTCTGCTAACAAACTAAAACCAGGCTGCACATCAAATGCGCATCAACTGCATGAGTGTTTATTACTTTTAGGATACACACTTAAAAAAAAAAAGAGTTAATGAATCAAAAACACAGCACGAGTCGTTAAGATTACAAATGATTCAGTTCATGGATGCCGAATTGGATTAAAGTTTAACTCCTAATTTAGTAAATTACACGTTAAAGCAAGGTCACTGTGATTAAAACATTTAGACTGACGGGAAATTTGACCAATCTGGCAACCCTGTGTCCAAACTTGTTTATAAACAGTCACAAATCTGGCGACAGTGATGACAGAAATCATTCTCCATCGCAGATTCAGTCCGAGTATAAATCGATACAGCAATGAAAAGAAAAGTCGTAAAATGTGTGTATGCGCAAAAAGTGCGCAGCGCAGTTACTGCAGCACACGATGCGAGTTTCACTCGTAGCCATGGCGACGCCGCGAGCGTTTGCTTCCACGCGCTACAGTGACTCACCAGCGCACTCGGAAACAGAAAGCGACTTTAGCACAAAGTGAAACATTCGGTTGTAGAATGTGGATTCAAACCGGCACGCGCGCGCTTTAAGACGCCAGAAAAACAACAACAACAACAATAACAGCGTGATTACCTTGACACGCGCTTTGCGAGTCTCGCGCGATGCTTTCAAACCCAAGCTGCTCTTCTCATTCAAGCTCGCGCGCACAGTCCGAGCGAGTGCCCACGCGAGCGAGCTGCGCCGCGCGAGACCGTTCTCAAACTCCAAAGCGGCTGCGTAGAGATCGCGCAAAATATCGCGATAACGCGTTCATGCGCCCAGCAGCAGGGATCACTATTTGGCAGGAAGCACGGACCCGTGTTTTTCAACGAAGGGAGCAAAATGTAGCAGGAGTAAAATTAATGAGTGCGCTCGAAATCGAGTCGAAATACTTTTCTCTTGTGTAGCAGCCTATTTTTGGATCTTACAGTACCCAAACAAACAAACAAACAAACAAACAAACAAAAATCCCATTCAAATGATAAACTTTAAAATATTAAACAGAATATAATATTTGAAATATTAAACAGAAGTTGAACTGGTGGTCAAATAACCCAGTTGACGTTGTCAGTGTTTCCTGTTTTATTTTAGACATACTGTATACTGTACATTCATCATTCATGTATTCAGTCATCTTCAGGAAGCGTTTTATCTTGCTCAGGGTGTCTGTGAATCCGAAGCCTTTTCCCGAGGCGGAAATACACCTCTTCACACGCTTTCACACACTCCTCACTAACTCTGACTCACCAATCCACCTACTGGCATGTTTTTAGGGGGTGGTGGAGGAAACTGGAGAACCCAGAGGAAACCCATGGGAGAACACGAGAAGCTCTGCACATGCAGGCGTTAACCCGAGATCATGATCGAACCTGGAGCTGTGAGGCGACAAGGCTACCCCCTGAGCCACCATGCTGCCCTTTATACACACAGAATACATCAAATTAGAAATGGATTCGACCCCAAGCAGAGATTATGACTCAAATCCATCCTTTTTATTTATTTATTTATTTTTATTAAAGTCATGTTTTAGTCATGTGGAAGTGAAAGGGTGGAGTTGAACCATCCTGCACTCACCCTGGCCCAATACAATGCATAAAAAAAAGTTTTGAATCAACAATGAATTGTGTTTTCTTTTTGTTTGGTTTGGCTGATGATGAAAAATCAACATGAAAATCAGTGTTGGTTGGTTTGGTTAAAAAAAATCTTCAGACTTCCAAATTCAAGGGTCAAATACTGTGTTGTGGAGGAACAAATCAACATTTTAGCTTTTAATAGATGGACCCCTTTAGCTTCTAGCTTCTCTCTGCTGAAAAAAACAAACAAACAAAAAAAAAAACAATAGAAACCCTCATAGAATTTTTAATGGTTTTAATGTTTATAATGGGAATTGTATTGGTTTTAATGGTCCCTGTGGGTCTCTACTGGTAATTTCTTGCCTTCTATTGGTGGCATGTTATGTCTAGTGGATACCATTAAGGACCTGCAATAGTAATAGTAATGGTGATGGTTTTAATGGTTAGTTGATGGTTTGTAATGGTGTTTATAGTGGAAACCATTAGAATTTCTGTTACGGTTTCTACTGTTATTTTTCAGCAGGTCTGTAGCGTAAATGATAGGAACTAACTTGTCTCGCATTCCACAAATTTAAACGTAACTAGAAAAGTATAAAAAGTATGTGTCATTCATTAAAAAAGGTCATCATTAGCAAACTAATGGAAAATAATCAACTTGGTGGTAACAGTAAGTCTGCATCGTCACACCACCCTTTCGTTGATTACTTTCTTATAACAGCATGACACAGTGACACTACACACTACAGGAAGAAACTGTCTATCACAGCAGTTTTTTTCATCTCTACAGTCAAGACTACTCAAACACGTCTCTTCTAGTAAAGCGGTATTGAAAGACAGGCCGAAAGCCCTCAGAGAAGCATCCAGCTCATTGAATATAGGGAGGATGTAAACAAACCTGCAGGCGACGTCTCATAAAAAACAAACTACTGTGATCCATATGACTGAACTGATTCTTTAAACTCGTCTGTTTGGCCTGGAAACTAACACATAAATGCACAGACTGACATGCATGCTGAGCTTATTAGGATGTTGGCATTCTTGCATTTTTTTTAAAAGCCCACTTTCATGTATGCAGTATGCAAAATTCAACATAATATCAATAGTAGTTTTATTCATCTGTTGAAAAAAAAAAATCATTTCACAGCAGATTTGTAACATATTTATTTATTACAATGAACATATTTAACACTTCTTGTAATGCAAAGTATACATTGTATTATATCAAACAAATATCGTAATAATTTGCATTTATGTTTGTTTATTTCTTTAAAATAAGTATTTAAACATAGAAAGTAGTTCGTGTTTATTATATTGTGCTTTATAATGTGTAATTGCGTTTTAAAGGGCCAAGTTCCACCTAGTGGACACTTCAGGAACTACATGTAACTTTCCAAATGTCCACTAGAGGGCGCCCGAGTACTTTAAGCTTTAATAGTGAAAGTATTGTAATACATTTATGGCATTTAGCAGACGCCCTTCTCCAGGGCGACTTACATTTATCTCATTTACAAAACTGAGGGTTAAGGGCCTTACTCAAGGGCCCAGCAGCAATAGCTTGGTGGAGCTGGGACTTGAACTCATGACCTTCCAATCAGTAGACCAACATCTTAACCACTGAGCTACCACAGCACTGCTTCTGTCCAAGAAAAAGGGGGGGGGGGGATAAATAAATAAATAAATAAATAAATTTAATTATTCAAAGCTGTCCAGACAGTTGTGTTCTTATATAATAATGTGAAATTATTATTATTATTATTATTATTATTATTATTATTATTATCGTCATTATTATTATATATGAAATTAAATTGTTATTCAGAGCTCACATCCCTCTGCTTCCATCATTAGGAGACGTTTGCTTACCTGTAGTACGTACCCTGACAGGAGCAGCAAACCTTACACAACCTTCCGCCATTTTACATCACTGTGTGTCATGTTTTCATTATTACAAAACATTCATTCAACTTCAGTAAGCACTTTATCCTGGGGAGGGTGGTGCTGGTCCTGGTGGATTTGGAGTCTATCCCCGGAACACTGGGGCCAAGGCTGGATCGAAGTCCATGGTTTTTTTTTTTTTGGGAGGTGGGAGAAAACCGGAGAACGGGGAGGAAACGTGGAAACGTGAAACTCCGCACACACAGTAACCCTAAGCTTAGGACTGAACCGGGAATAGTTCGATTCTTTGTCAAACATAATCCATGGAAAATTCTTTCTGTCATAGTAGCTAACAAGTTACTCTATCTTTTACCCGACACTGTAGATGAGCTTCTGTGTTGTAACTCTCACAACCAAGCAAATGCAACCGCGGTCTGAACAGACTTTAAAAACGGGATACAAATCAGATTTATCCTGCTGTGTGTGTAATGAGTTCATCTTTGAAGAGCATGAATTGTCAGGTTTCTCCTGCATTCCAACATGGTAATATTCTCTACCTGTGCATGTATGTGTGTGTATGTGTGTGTGTGTGGGTGTGTGTGTGTGTGTCTTGTTCACACTTTGCTGCTCTCTTCCTCTTTGTCTCTGTCGGTCTCTGTTTGCTTGTCTCTCTCTTTGTTTCTCCTTCTGTGTGCCTCTCTCAATTGTCTCTCTCCCGCTTTCTCTCTCTATCTCTCTATCACTTTTTGTCTGTCTCTCTCTGTGCGCAAGCGTGAGTGGTGAGAGTGAGTGGAGTGCGTGGTGGTTGTGAGCGTTTTGTGCCCGTTTGTGCCTCAAGAACGAACAATGCAATTGTATTGTTCTTAAGTACGGCGGAAAAGGCAAATGTGGTGGTTGAAGAAGGCAATGAATTGTGGGGTGTTTTTACGCCCCTACGTCCCCTTTCAGCTAAAAAGGTTACATTGTCTAATGGTCCACCTTTAATCAAAGATGTTGTTGCGTTACTGAAACATGTCGTTTCTTTTCAGAGGTTCACATACATGATTTTAAATAACGGGAACAAACTCGATCTGAACTTGAAATTGTGGGAGCATTTCTTTGAGTTTGTGACGCATAAAAGAATGGAAAAAAAAAAAAAAAAAGAGATCAATGGGTAAGTTTCAGACACCACTCCTGTTTATTGGCTTACAGCAGTAGGGCCTCACACGACACACAGACTTAGATGTTTGTGTGCGTTTATTAACCCCATAGGTGGCCTGAGTGGCCTGAGAAACAAAAGTAA